GCTCCAGCATTATTGGTTGCTAAACATGATGGTTCATGGCGAATGGTAGTTGATTATAAAAAATTAAATAATATTACAATTAAAGATAATCATCCGTTACCCAATATGGAACAAGCAATACAAGTACTTGGTGGTGGTTATAATTTTTTTTCAAAACTTGATATGAAAAGTGGATTTTGGCAAATTCCAATTAAACAAGAAGATAAATATAAAACCGCCTTTATTACTCCTGATGGTTTATATGAATGGAATGTTTTAGCACAAGGTTTAAAGAATAGTCCACCATCTTTTCAACGTGTTATGACCGATATTTTATCACCATGTCGTCAATTTTCATTAGTTTATATTGATGATATTATAATTTATTCTCGATCATTTGAAGAACATCTCGCTCATATGACACAAATATTATCAATATTATTAAAACATAATTTTCAACTTAACCCATCCAAATGTAGTATTTTTCAACATCAAATTGATTATTTATCTCATACAATTTCTGAACATAGTGTTAAACCTACTGATGAAAAAATTCAAGGTATTATTTAATTACGTGAACCATCTACATTAGCTGAAGCAAATAAATTTTTAGGTGGTCTTTCTTGGTATCGTAAATTTATACCACAATTTGCAACCATCGCTGCATCTATTCATAAAATTACCAACCTCACCAAACCGAATAAAAAAAAATTTATTTGGGGAGACTCCCAGAAACAAGCATTTTTACAATTAAAACATTTGCTGGTGACGTCTCCGTTATTTCTTGATTTTCCAAATCATAAATATCCCATTATTTTAACAACTGATGCTTCAAAAGTAGGTATTGGCGGTACATTACAACAAATTATTGATGGTGAAACAAAAAATTTATACTATCATTCTCAAGTTACATCATCCACTCAACGACGATATGATCCAATTGAATTAGAAGCTTTAGCTATCTGGTTATGTTTTCAACGAATGAGATCTTATTTACTTGGGCGTTCAATTATAATTTATACAGACCATTGTCCTTTATGTAATATGATGAATTCATCAGTGAAGAATCGTCGAGTAGATCGTATTTCTATATTATTACAAGAATATAATATTGAAAAAATTATTCATATCAAGGGTCAACATAATTGTTTAGCTGATTATTTATCTCGTCATCCAATTCAACATCATGAAGAAATATTTGATGCGGACTACGGTATAAAAATGTTATTTGATGTGGAACCACCGACTACGGTGTCAGTTCCCGATACAAAGCCTCCAGTTATTAATGCTGTTGTTACACGTTCTAAACGTAAACAAATGTTACAACAACAAGTTGTATCCAGTCACACTCTACCAATTAATCCATCAAAAAAAACGTTTTCTGGCATGCAACCAACAAATATAGAACCATCTACATCCTTTACTTGTCCTTATTTTGATAGTGAGCGTATTAAAAAAGAGCAAACTAAGGATCCCAATATACAACGAAAAATCAAAGAACTACAAGGTAAAAATATTAGCACTTCTTACATTTTTCATGACGAATTGTTATATAAATTAATGCCTATGCATAAGAATAGCATAAAGAAAACTAAAGTAATATTTTTACCCACTACGCTGGTGGACTCTCTTCTTAAGGCATACCATACTGACCCATTAGCTGGCCATTTTGGTATCAAACGTACTTATTTAAAATTAAAGAATAGGTTTTGGTGGCCTGGCATGTTACATTCTATTATAACATACATAAAAAAGTGTTTACCTTGTCAACAACATAATATTAGTCGTATTAGAAAACCAGGTCATTTATGCTCGATTGAACCACCTGATGGACCTTTTCAGTTAATTGGTATTGATTTTTGTGGACCCTTTAATCGTACCCCTCGAGATAATCAATATGTCTTATGTATTACAGATTATTTTACCAGATGGATTAATGCGATAGCTTTACCTAATTGCTCCGCTCAAACAACGGCTCAAACAATCTTTGATGATTATATTTGTCGATATGGCGTACCGAAATCCATTTTATCTGATCAAGGTACTCATTTTAATAATCAATTAATGGATTCTATGGCTAAATTAATTGGATATACACATATCTTTTCTACTGTTTACCATCCACAAAGTAATGGAATGGTTGAACGATTTAATGCTACATTCGTACCACAATTAGCTAAGCTTCAGGATCGTTACAATAATAATTGGGATGAATATTTGTCGCCAGTTGTTTTTGCATACAACACTGGTGTACATTCGACTACACATTATTCTCCTTTTCAGTTACAATTTGGGCGTGAACCTCGTTTACCTATTGATAAACCATCATCTACTTATGTATTTCATAAGCCGAATGATTATTATGCTCAATTACGAAAGAGTCTACAAATTATTCATAACAATGCTCATATTAATATTATTCAACAACAATCGAAATATAAGAAACCTTATGATAAACATCGTTCTGACCCTATATATGCAATTAATGATCAAGTTTTAACAAAAATTCAAGGTTCCAGATCTAAGTTAGATCCTCGATACTCTATTACACCACGAATAATTGTTAAAACACAGCATCCTATTTATTGGGTTAAAGATCAAACATCTCAATTTATTCATCGTGTTCATGTTAATGACATCCGTCCTATATGATTATTTAATTTATCCTCAACACATTCACATCATTATTCTATTTTTTTATTTCATTGTACCATCATATGAATTATACCACCATGTCACAATCATTTCATTTATTCTACATATTCCATACGTTGTTCTACGTTATTGATGAGTCATATTTTATAGTTATCCTATACATTACGCCCTCTATTAGTACTTATATGTTTTACTGATTTACAATAATTTATAACAAAACACAAAAACATAGTATTGACCATTGTTTTCGTCCTATCCACATTATTGTAATTGATCGTTCTGTACACTTATATCCATATACTTTGTTAAAGACTATATAATTTTTTCGTTCTCTTCATTATATTTTTTCATACATATTATGTTACCTACCGTTCCATCAACTCGTCTTCGTGATCCAACTAAACCACCACCTAATTTAAGTGGTAGTAGTTTAAACAATTGGTTCAAAAATACTTATAAGCAATTACAAAATTATGATTATCAACTCAAATATCCTCCATTTTATGTTCCTGATGTATGTTATCAAATTTTTCATATTCATCGATTTATTACATTAGAAAAAATTCAACTTATTGTTCAACACATCAAAAATTGTCGATTATTTAGCATCGACACAGAATCCGATTGTTTTACACGTGAATTAGCTTTAATTCAAATTCATACCATTCCAATTGAATTACCATCTATGATTATTCTTATTGAATTGCATCATTTACCATCAACTGATACTTTATTGTTTAAAGCAATTTATGCATTAGTTCAATTGATATTTAAATCTGGTAATACATTATATTCTTGGGGTCCTCTGGTGGTAGAACTGGAGAAGGCTCGACCTTATAATCTTTTTTCTTTTCCTTTAGTATTAAATGATATTTATCTTCAAAAAAATTTAAGCCATGGATTGAGAGGACACTTCCTCACTCTGAGGAATGTAAGTCCGGACATTATGAGTCACAGCGTTATAGCTGTACTTGTATTCCACATTTTGGTACAAACGAATTTTGGTCTTTACAAAATGCTATACGTTATACTTGTAACCAATTTCTCGATAAATCTCAAACAAAAAATCCTTGGGAACAATTATTAGATCCATTATATTCAACATTACCATCTTCTACACTAAATAATATGATTTATTATGCTATATACGATTGTCTCGTCGTTTCTTATTTACATCGTCCTGTACTTGAATCGTGGAATCTTGATCAATTAAAACAGTCAACAATCGATTTGTTATTAACGACACCACCATCTATATTTGATCAACTTGAAGATATATCGGATGATGATATTGATGATAACGAACCACCAACTAATGATGAACTTATTATTAATGACAGTGATTCCGATGTATTATTTAATCGAATTACTGAATTACCATCTTCATCAACACAAATTTTCTCAACAAAAGTCAAATCACATGCTTGTCGTTCTTGTCAATCTCGTACGAAACGCAATAAAAAAAGAAATCTTACTCGCCGTTCATTTCGATACAAATATGTCATTCGTCGTTCGATATATTATAAATATAGTATGTACTTGATCAAAACAATTCTCCACAAACTGAATATTCATTTTACTCACATTATTAAACACGACAAAACTACACTTATTATTGGTATAAAATCTAAAGAATTACGTGAACAATATGATAAAAATATTCCGCTGAACATTTTTGATCGTCATCATTATTATCGTAATTAAAAAATGGCAAACTGAACCATATTCTATCTATTGCTCAGATGTTTTTTTTATTTTACTTCCTTTTCTTTCTGTTGTTCTATTTGATGTTCTATTGATCCTATATGTTTTTGTTATATATCTATTAACCGTTTTTCTTTCTGCTTATTCATGGCTTTTGTTTTTTGTTTTCTTTTTTTTCCTTTTTCTTTTCTTTGTTATTCATGTTATTATTGATTTTCTTTTTCTATCTATTCGATGTTTCGCTTTCATTTTACTTCTGTTTTTTCCACGAAAGTTTTCCATTACATGTAAAACTTTTTTCCATGGGGTAGGGTGTCAGGCTATGACATCTATACTAAGATATACTGTTTCTTCTTTCTACGTTTTCCTCCTCTTTTTCTGATATATACATATATACTATACTTGTTACTTGTTTACATCAGATAATAAAATAAATAAAAAAGATTAAGTTCTACTTGATTGAACTCACGAATTTCATTAATTTTATTAATTATGAAAGTAGATCTTAACAATGAGGGTGGATGAGTTTAATAGAAAAGAAAATGGAAAAAGAAAGCAGAACTTTCGAATCCTTAAAAGATTATCCATTTCCATTTAACTTGTCTACAGACGATAAATTATCAATTTGAAATCAAACGAACGCCCACAGAGGATATGCTTAGTCGAACATGAATGATCGGACTAAAAGCATCATTTATGCACGATAGGACTCGAGCGTGTATCTCCCACTGACCGGCTGGTGACATATAGATGTCAAGTCAGAGTTTGATCGAGACAGTAGTGATTTTTTCCTCCGTCGAATGTAGACTGAAAGGTATCCAGTCGTTCTTATGTCCTTATACTCTTAAGACGAGAGAAAATTAAAATAGACTGGCATGCTCTCCCGCTACTATCTTTGATCTCATGACGTAAACGATTTTCAATTTTAATGCTTTTCTCTGTCTCTTGAGTCGTCTTTGTACAATTGATTAGTCACACGACGTGATCAAGGATGAATGACTGTACTGAACAGCCTCTTCCTTTTTAAAGCGGTCATCAAGCTTTGTTTTACCACGATGCAGAGTTTCGTTAGCATCACCCATGAAACATAACGAGGAGCTTGGCTTAGTTTGTTTCTCAAAAATGATAACATCACTATCTGATGAACGAATAGTTTCTTTTCAGATTTCAAAAAGTAAAATCACAATAAAACAGTCTTTCTTCCAACGGTACACTAAGGCATTCAAATGATTGATAAGAGGACAAGAATCAATCGTTTCTTGTTGACCGTAGTGGTTTGATCTCGATAGTCAGACCATGCGGACATTGGTTGCCGACTCAGTGAAAATGATGAAACAATCTATTTGGTTCAACAGTCTCATCTAGATTGACACAACTGGCTTTTCTATTATTTTTCTTCTCTTTTTTTATCATTTGAATAGTTTCAAACTAATGATTCTTAGTTCAGTTTATCAAGAATTCTCTTTTCTCTCTCTCAATCAGGAAACAATTCAATAGTTAAAAATCAACTCACGAAGAAATTCAGATCATCATTTCTTTCGCTGTTTCAGATTGAATATTTTATTAATTTATTCGACTTCGTTTCACTTTTTTAGCATCCAACTCAATCAATCGTATCCATAAACGACGATGCCAGCTAAGTTCAGCAATGTTACTTGAAAGATGCCAACATTTCACTTTTATAATCTCTTAGGATTAAAACTCAATCTTTCCATTCAATGAGCAGCTAAATAACTCAATCATTAGATCCCTCAAACCACTCCAATCAAAAAATTAAGCTTTCATGATCTTTTCTTTCTAGGAGTAATCCTGGATCATCTTCCATGTTATTAAAATAATATTGAAAACAATTTCTCATCACGACTCGATCCATCAATTCAAAATCTTTTAGTTCTCCTCTTTCAGGCTTGCTGTGACGATTTCTGATAGAAGAGGCATCAGCGCTGATGGAACTACGCTTTATTGTATTTCTTCTTATCAAGAATCGCATCGCTTCCATAAAAAATCGACATTTATATGCTCGTGCATCAGAGAGAAGAAAAGAATGAGAAAGAATGATAAGGACAAATAAAGTTAAAGTGCAATCAATGTACGAAGTAAGGACAAATATATAAGGGCAATGATACACTTAAGCGGGAGCGTTACACTTTCCTTTCAAAATTATCTTATATCGTGGTCATCCTTTCGTTATTCTTTTTTTCGTTATCATTATTCTCTTTCGTCGTTCTTCTTTTCGTTCTTTTTTTCGTTCTTTTTTTCGTTTTTCTCTTTTGCTGTTTTTTCTATTCTTCTTTTTGCAACCGACGAAGATACGGAAAAGATGTACGATTAGTGAGCGAAGTAGGAGTGTTGTTCCATCTGTTCCTTTTCGTTGATTATTCTCTTTTTCTTTCGTTCTTCTCTTTTGTTGTTATCTTTCGTTATTCTTTTTCGTTGTGATTTTCTCGTTTTTACTTCTTCTTCAATATTACTTCTTCCTTCCTCGTTATTATTTCTTCGTTGTTGTTCGAAAATAAAATACCTTCAAGGTCTAAGGTTTTCATTTCTTCGTGAGTATTGTATTTCTTCGTGATTATTGTATACGTTGCTATTTTCGCTGTTCTGTTTACGTTATAACGTTATGCTAGTTGGTCATCCTTTTTGGTTGTTCTCCTTTTCTCATTTTGTTGCGCTCATTTCGTTATTCTTGTTTTTTATTCCAATTATTTTGTTGTTCTCATTTTATTATTTTCATTTTCTTGTTCCCAATAAAGTATGTAGCTACCTGATCTATTTTCAATTTCGACTCTATAAAGACAATGTCTTCGATTCTACAGATCGTGATCATGTCTTCGTAGCCAGCTTGTATTTTTCGCAGTTTTTTTCTTTTATACTCTTCTCATTAATTTCCTTCGTCGTTGTCTTTTTTCCGCTCGGCTACTATAATCTTCTTTTCTTTCGGAATTATCTTATACCGTACTTGTCATTTTGTAATTCTCTTTAATATTCTTATCATTTCCTTTTCCTTCTATTCTCTTTCGTTGGTCATTCTCTTTCGTTCTCTTTAATTCATCGTCCCCTTTCGTTGTTCTCTTTCCTTGTTTCTTTTCGTGGTTGCATTTTTGAGAAAAAGGAATTGTCTTGTTTCTTTTTGCGTGCGACACTATGCGACAGTATGAGGGTGCACATTATGGGGACACACTCTTTCCGAGAAATCGGAGAAATTTTGTTGTGCTATGCCAAGCCTCTCAGTTTTGCTTTTCCCTTTTTTTTTCATTTTGTATGCGACACTATGAGGACACGTTCACTCACACGTGAAATTTTGATGTGGTATGCCAAGCCACTAAGTTTTAGGGCTCGAAACGGGCCGCCCGGCCTGGCTCGAAGGAGTTTTTTGGTCGAGCCGGGTGGGCCAACCAACTTAGCCCAACGGGCCGGACCGGCCCGACAAAATTCTAATTTTTTCGTCTATAAAATTTTATAAGTGTCATCAGATCGAGTAATGATCAAAACATTTTGTTATAGCCATTTCTATCGAAATATTATTAGACAGCACAGTAAACCAACAGCTTTTTAATATGCACAATGTATTGATATATTTTCTTATGATCGTTGTACTTAATAATTTATCTTTATGTTATTATTTCAATGATCTGATCTCATTAAATTCATAAATTAATCTATGGTGTGTTATACAAAATTTTCTTTCGAAACATGATGTTGATCTTTAAGATCAATTCTGGATAAAATGTTTCTTAAAAAAATTTTGCGTTGGGCCCGGGCCGGGCCACAAATAAGTGACCCGTTTCGAGCCCTGCTAAGTTTTCTTTTTTCCCCAACACATTTTATATGTGTATGGACACTATGCGATAGTATGGGGGCACTTGCGGACACCAGGGAGACGAGGGCTCATTTCGCCTCCGACTTGGTCCCAGGTCATGCTATGAATAAGCTCAATAATACGATAGAGGAGAAAGAATATCTAGGTCTATACGAGATATATAAAAAGTATGCAAGTCTGTATCCCGTAGGAGATATTACAATAGTTCAATTATGGTAGGTGAGTACGTGATACTCGCATTGTGACCGTGATTTTTAGGGTTATGCCCTACAGGGCACCAACAGTAGGGTAACACTAATTTTTTAAGATTTTATCACACGGAAATGAGCGACTTAAATAAGTAACCATTTGAGTGTAGGTATTCAAACTTTACTAGATTTTAGATTACTGAAATATATTTGAGTGCTTAAATAAAAACACTACTTTTCACGAAATTCGAGCAACTTTGAATACTTCTACTGTCTTCATCTACTTTTTGATTCACAATAGTACAAAAAATGACCGTCGAAACTTATACAATCCACCCCACTAACAAATACTATCGCCCACCTCCACCATCGACAATAGCACTTCATGGTCTGGATCTTCTCAGTGATCCCATACACATCCGCAATCACCGGTTCTTCCACCGTCCGACCAGCACTACTACTGACGTAATCGATAAACTGAAATCCTCTCTTGCCGAGGCACTCGAGTTGTATCCACCAGTTGCAGGAACTGTGCGAGCCAATGAAAAGGGCGAGCTGTACATCGCAATGGATGCCGAAAATATATTGGGTACACCGTTTTTGGTTGAAATGAAAGACGCGCCATATGCTGGCGATACGGAAGATCTATCTCCTCGAACTGTCGTGTTGCTACCTCCATTATCAAGCACATTAGCAGTGAAAGTAACTCAGGTAATGTAGAATGCTCTAGTATATGCTTTTTTTTAAATGATCATCACCCACTCAAGCTTAAATATGTGTTTTTCTGTCAAAATAGTTTTCCTGCGGAACCATAGCCGTAGCCTCTTCCATACACCATCAAGTCACTGATCTACGTGGCTTTCTCGATTTTCTTGAACTCTGGGCTCAACTCGCTCGAGGGGAACCCATCGACTTTACAAAAATTCCAGATGATTGGTGTCATAATCCCGGCCGATTTTTTCCTGGTCTGATCAGAGAATCATCATTCCCAACGCCTCCTCCTCCTCCATTCACGGTCCTTCCTGCTCCGGCAACCGGGCCACCTCTATGTTTATTGGCATCATCAGAAGTTACAAGATGGAAATTTACCAAAAGCGCTATGAAACGATTAAAAATTGATTTCTCGCCTTCTGCTGCTTCTTCCAAAGAACACAAGTCTGATCTGTGGATTTCATCGGGCGATGCACTTGCTGCTCTTCTTTGTGGTGTCATTACACGTGCTCGTGAAAATGCAAAAGTGGCAAGATTGCAAGGAAGATCTAGTTTGGAGTCACAAACCGAGAAAATTGCGATGGCCGCTGATGGTCGAGACAGATCTCCTCAAGGAAACATGTCTGGTGGACGATACTTTGGAAACTTCAATCCACTCTGGAGTGCCACTGTTTCTCGCTCCGATTTATTGTCCCTCACTAGTGAGTCAGCTTCTCGTGTCGCTCTCGGGATAAGAAACGCTTTAAACCTTCAACTTTCCCCCGAATCCATTGCCCACAAGATTTCATTCTTCGAAGATCCCCGAAACACCAAACCTCCTGGTCGTATTGTTTGGTCAGCAGATGTCATATTGACCAATTGGTGTCGATTTGATTTACAAGGTCCAAAATTAGATTTTGGTTGGGGAAAACCTTTTTGTGCAACGGCCGGTGCTGGTGGTACTTATCCACCTGGATACTGCATGATGACGCAGGAGAAGAGTTCTGGAGATGTTTTTGTTATGATGACAGTGGAACAGGAAGGAGCGGATGGTTTAAAAGCTGACTCACTGTTGAACAAGTATGCAACACTGGTCACAGCTCATTAAAGTTGTTGATCGATTTCATAATTTACAGTAATTTCAACCCAGATTATGTATATATTATAGACATTTTGTTCACTACCTCTGTAATTATATAATTGACTGCACGCTAGGAACTTTGTTATCACAACCTGAAGATGATTGTGCCAACTAGTACACGCTACCTTAATGTAACAAGGCAAATCGATGTTGCATCAGACAAAGAATGTCTTTTTGTATAACACCCCTTTCTCCTATCTGAGCAACGTGCTATCTTTTTTCTGCATTCTTTTTCTCGTTCTGTATCTTTTTGTGTCTCTCTCTCCTCGTTTGTTGTACCGTTTCTTTTCTCTTGTTCTCTCTCATATATAAGCTCATGTTGTTTGTGAAATTGTTGCATTTGGATGTAGTGCACAATTGAATAAACATTGAGCCAACACGGCAAAAAAAAAAGGTATATGTGCCTCTCTATTTGCCTGTAACGAAAAAAATAACATCTCTATAAAAAATTAAATTCGTTACAAATATGACACCAAATTAAGAAGTATTAATTGTGAAATATCAGTATAATAAAATAAAAAAGTGCACATAGTGTGATATTTTTTTTTTGTTTCAAAAACAATCAAAAGGACCAGACGACATGTATTTATTTATTTCATTACATTGATACCAAGCGAAGATATACAAACTGCAGAAAGTCAAGCCAAATAATATGTATTTCAATCGAGTTCCTAACACGATTTTCTAACAGTTTTGGTATGGACGACCCTAGTTTGGAAGCGCCGTAAATATGTTTTTTAAATGTCCTCAAGTGTGAGTATCAGTTTTGAATGGAACATATACTAGTTTGTAGGGCACGGTGAGCTGATTCTCGTGGTATGTTTCGTTTTTCCTGATAGAGCTTCATTCGTGCAGAATATGACTCAAAATAATATCAAAATTTCAACATAGTATTATCAACGAAGATGAATCTTACAATGAAGGTGTTTGTATTGTAGTGAAGAAAAATCTTGTTAGAGTCCGACTAGTTGATGGAATAAGGTTGAAACACATATTCTTTTATATCGACAGAGAGCTATCTTCTGTGTCATACAAACGAAAATAAAGACTGATTCGAGATGTTCTCAGTGAATTGTCCACAGAAAAAACAATTGATTTCAATGATTCTATCGATTCTGGAGGATTTCATGTGGTTTTAATACCACAGAATCAGCTGTTTTTTCGCTGGAGAAAGGCGAAATTTTTCCAAGATTGGAGTCTTTAAAAAATAATCGATTTTAATCATATCTTCTTCGATGACCTTGTTGTATAGATGAGAGATAATAAAATTGTAAACAATGGAAAGAAACTTTTATTAAAAACATTACAAAAAAAATACATATTAGTTCAACAATAGAAGAAATGAGTAGATACTTGATAATTTTATTATCTTGTTGTTTTATTTGAAGTTATGATGCTTCTATTTACGTTTTCAAAATTCGAACTATTTCAAGAAACCAAAATACAACTTCAGCACTTTGATCGTAGGAAGAGTTAATAGATCCAGGAAGCATGCCTTGTTCCGATTGTTGATGTATGAAATGATTGGTAATTTTTTCAATAGCATTGAAATATTTTTCTTTCAATGGACCATCATGTTGAAAAAGTAAAGCTGCGGACCAGGCTATTTTATGACTCATTGTAACAATAAATATTTTCATTACACGACAATGCAAAATCCATGTAATCTCTTGCACCTTTCAAACAATTCATATCGTTTGTTTCCTCATATAATAATGTTAAAAATCCAATAGAATAACCAATCATAAAATAAGCTTGCTGTGGTTTATACTTTCGAACAATATATGCCCATGACATTTCTGGCGTGTAAGTAGTAATCAAGTTATCATTTTTATCCAAACGTAAGGGTGTGGGTGGGTGTGAGTGTGGGTGGGTGTGGGTGTCTGTGTGGGCGTGGGTGTGTGAGTGTGGGTGTGTGGGTGTGGGTGAGGGTGGGTGTGGGTGTGGGTGTGAGGGTGGGTGTCCGTGTGTGTGTGGGTGTGAGGGTGGGTGTCCGTGTGTGTGTGGGTGTGGGTATCATTTCTCTTTTTACTCGCACCCACACACACCCCACCCACACCCACACCCTACCCACACCCACACCCACACCCACCCCACCCACACCCATATAACCTACATTATTCTAATAGTTCTATTCATTAAATAGTTGATGGTACAGAAACATAATTTCAAATTAAAAAACAAAAAAAATGATTATTATCGAGTATATAGCAATAACTATAAATGAAATTGAGCGCGCGTAAATTAAAAAACAATATTTTCGTTTTTTAATATATTTTTTAATATGCAAATAAATAATAAATTCCCACTCTTTTCATCGATTTTCAATGAAAACAACTATAGTTGACAAGAAGTCTTTCAGTATACAGATGATGCGTCAGCTAACAAAGCTACACGTATACGTGAGTTCCACATTTTAGCTCCACAGGAGCTGCGCTAACAAGCTTTTTCGAATATTCACAGAGTATGTAAAAAAAAGAAGGCCGATTAATCTTTTCTACAGAATGTGTATTAAAGATCATGCTACAGTTAAATTTTTAAGGATCATTTCGGTTTTGATCTTTTTACAAAGAATTGATTTTGATTATTCTGTAAGACAAACATCGAGAAATAAATAAAATAGTTTACGTTGAGGGTGGGGTGTGGGTGTTGATCTTCCCTTCACCCACTCCCACACAGCCACACACCTACACACCCGCCCACACCCTATGTATTGTAAAATTGAATTTTGTTGTTTGATACTTCTATGAATCCATAAATGCTTTTAGGCACATATCCAACTAATCCACGATCGATTAGTTTTCTTCTTAGACGAATACCGACATTAAGTTGGTTATCAGGATGGTTTCCTGACTTTTTAAAACTACTCTATTGGTTGTGGTATGAATTGGTAACAAAGTTTCAGTTTTTACAACACATTGTTTAAAATATTTTCAATGATATAATCGTGTTTGTGACTCTTTTTAACGAACCAGTAATTTAAAATAAAGTATATCGAGCATTTTCGACAAGCAATATATGCTCTTTTGATTTTTTGATCTTTTTGTTGTGATTATCTTAGATAAAATAAAACACATGTTTTTCGCAGCTGTGAAGATTAGAAACATATTATGCACAGTTACTAACTACACTTGAGGGTGTGGGTGTGAGAGTTCGATGTGGTGTGGATGTATCAAAAGAGCAACATCGACAACCTCATATCCACTCACTCTTCCACACCCCACACCCTAAATATCAACTTCATCATATTGAAACTAATTAAAATACCAAACTATGAATTTTTATTTGAATGAAGTGACATAAACATCAAAATTCATAATAAATTATTGTATGCTTCAAGAAACAGATAATAAAAATGATCCATCATCTTTTTTTTAGACAAATCTTTGATTGAATTTTATGTTGACGGAAATTTCTCATCTTAGCAGCACTTTCTATACCTGTGATAGAAAAGAATCAATTTCTATTGATGAACACGGATATTATAATAATAATAAGAAGAAGAAAGTGCATTCGAATGCTAGATCATATTGAATAATTATCTTCTTTTTTATATTACAGTATATGAATAAAATCTTATTAAACTTAAAAATAACTTTAGAATTATTTTTTCATCGTCTAGGTATATATACTGTTTTATTTAACCCTTTGAGAACTGAATTTTTGTTAATCGAAAAAAACATTTTTTAACCTTTTTATTTTATTTTAACTCAAAATGGAGTGTGGCTGTGGGTTTCGATCGGAATGAACAGAAGGTTGATACCCATCTCCACACCCTCCCACACCCCACTCACATTAACAAAGCAAGTCGATTTCTTGTCGAAGAATAAAGAGTATTTGCAAAACCCAACATTCATTCCGTGAAATATTACCAATGTACTTTCAATTGTGCCTTTGTCTTTAATGCTTCCTGTATTTGTTAAATTGTTTGTTGGTCGATTTGATTTTCATCCAAGTGAAGTGTGGTGAGTGTCTGTGTAAGAGAAGAGAATGAATAAGGGATCAGAATAAAAAAAAAGACTAGGTACCCGATTAATTTTGAGAGCCTCAACAATATCCTGAACTCCTTGTTGTCCGATCTCGTTTTGTCCCAGATAGAGGGTGGCGAGTGTCTAAGTTAAATGAAAAGAAGAAGTGTGTCTGATGTGATGAAGTAAAGACAGAATAGTTACTGGGTTTATTTTAAGAGTTTCAGCAATATGTTGAGCACCTTGTGGTCCAATTTGATTTTGTTCGAGGTAAAGTGCAGTGAGTGTCTATATGAAATGTGAATAGGAATGCATATGATAAGGATAAACTGAGAATATTGACTTTATTGATTTTGAGAGCTTCAGCAATGTGTTGAGCCCCTTGATGTCCAATTTGATTTTGTTTGAAGCTGAGTACGGTCAGCGTCTAAACCAAATGAGAAGAGAAGTATGTGATAAGGATAGAAAGAAAATAATTACTTGATTTATTTTGAGAGCTTCAGCAATATATTGAGCTCCTTGTGGTCCGATTTGATTTTGTTCGAGGAAGAGTATAGTGAGTTTCTATGTGAAATGGAAACAGGAGGATATATAATTAGGATAAAGAATGAATGTTTACTTTGTTAATTTTGAGAGCATCAGCAATATACTGAGTTTCTTGGTGTCCGATTTGATTTTGTCCGAGACCGAGTATGGTGAGGGTCTATATCGAATGAGAGGAGAAGGATGTTTGTATGAGGATAGAAAGAAACATAATTACTTGATTATTTTTGAGGGCCTCAGCAATATGTTGAGTGCCTTGCTGTCCGATTTGGTTTTGTCCAAGACCGAGTGCCGTGAGTGTCTGTGTGAAATATGAAAAGAGGAATGTATGTGATGAGGATAAAGAAAAAATAGGAACTTGGTTCATTTTGAGAGCTTCAGCGATATGCTGGACTCCTTGGTGTCCAATTTGATTGTTGTCGAGGCGGAGTACGGTAAGTGTCTGTGTCGAATGAG